AAATCTTGATCACCGTCTTCTCCTTCTTCATCACCTTCTGTTTCAATAACTGCTTCCTGATACTGTTGGTACTCACTGAAATTTTTAATGATATAAATTTAAATCCAAATCAATATCGTTTAATAATTCATATCGTATTTGAGTATCCAAAAGTATGGTAAAAATACTCGAATATGATGTATAAATTGTTAATGAAAAAAAGTCTTTAGCCAATAATTTCCAGGAAAAAACGATTATTCGGCTTGGTCACGTAACTCTGTTGCCACACTGTCCTCCTGTAACAGTTTTTCTTCATTTTGTTTTTCTTATAGTTTTCGAATGAAAATATGTCCGGAGAGAAAAGCGTACAGAATGTTTTGGACGCTCGCACACTCTAAACTTTGTTTGAGAAAAAGATTTTTGAAGAACACAATAGTAGACTCTTGATCAAAAACTACAAAAAACTAATTCTAACAAAAGAAAAACACCTAATATATATATTTACAACTGCATCATAAAAGATAATAACCGCAAAAGAACAAAGCAAGAAAAGAACAAAAGCAGACAACGGTGAGAATGAAACAAACGAGAGTAGCCCTACCGAAAGATGTACATACTAGAAGGAGAGATGGTGACAAAGAATCATCACATAAGATAGGGTAGGTTAAGGGTACGAAACATTTTTATAGGATAGGCAGGGCACAGGTTGAGACGTTTGTCATAGACTGTAACCTATAAGATAAAGAACGGTTAGTATTCAGAGACATTCGCTAGTCCAATGAATTAAATTTTTATATATAGGGCAAGAAAGGGTTAATTAATCAACAGAACATAGAAGAAGAAAATCGAATAAATATTTTTTTACTGTTATGTACTGCCTATGCATAGTACATATTTAACTATTTCCGCAAGTTTAATAAAATAAAACTGAATTACGTTTTCACATACGATGCAGACTTAAAGAGGACATCAAAGAATTGATGTACAATATTTGTCTCTGTGAGATACATTACACATTTCAAAACTACGTGATTGTCATCCTCAAAAGTGTCAGATAAAAACTGGACAACCATTTCGATCGTTACCACTCTCACTGAAGCAAACGATTTATTAAAATCGTTAAATGTCTCACAATTTCGAACAAATTGTCTCAAAATTAGACATGCGCAGTAACGGTAAAAACAGTAGTTGTAAAATTCGGTAAAATCAATTTTCCAAAAAAAAATCGGTAAAAATAATTTTATTACCGTTACCGGCTTACGGTTAAAACCTAAAAATTTGACCGCGGTAAACTTCGTTAAAAAAATCCTTTACCGTTACCGCTCATGTCTACTCAAAATTTCATCAAATATTATCATGGGTGTAGAAATTATAAAGTTTATCCACTATGCAAAAGTTTATCCACCTGCTATGAACGATTATTCAGTGAACTCAGTTTATTGTCAATTTCGGAACATAATCAGACATATGTTGTCAGTTATGTGATGGCTGACGATGTTTCAGGTATGTTTCAGTCGGATTAGTGCTCGGCTTTCACTTTTGCAAATTTAGTGCTCGTTTGTCTACTATTGTGTTCTCCAAAAAACTATTGTCTTTCTTTTGTTCAGTACGATAATAATACAGCAGCCTGCTGTATTATTATTGTACTAAACAAAAGAAAGTGTAGGATGCGCGAGCGTCTAAAAACATTCAGTACGCTTTCTCCTCTACTTATGATGTTCCGAAGCTCGGGACATATTTTTTTCATTCGAAAACTGTAAGAGAAACAAAACGAAGAAAAACTGTTAACCACATAACTCTGTTACCACAAAGACAGTGTGGTAACAGAGTTACGTGGCCAAGCCGAATAGTCTTTTTTTGCTGGCTGAGAATGACTGCATTATTACTCACCTGACTAAATCATTCATATTTGATTCAGCTTCCGTGAATTCAATTTCATCCATACCTTCACCCGTATACCAATGAAGAAATGCTTTACGACGAAACATGGCTGTGAACTGCTCAGCTACACGTTTCCACAGATCGATCATTGCTGTTGTGTTAGCTGAAAAGAAATGAAAAATAAACATAATAAGAAGAAATATAATAAACGATTTTTCTAATTTACCAATGAATGTTGCCGACATTTTTAAACCTCGCGGTGGGATATCACAAACAGCTGTTTTCAAATTATCAGGAATCCATTCAGCAAAATATGAATTATTTTTTTCTTTAACATTTAGCATTTGTTCCTCTACTTCTCTCATGGACATTCGACCTCGAAATACAACGGCTGCTGTCAAATATTTTCCGTGTCGTGGATCACAGGCAGCCATCAAGTTTTTAGCGTCAAATATTTGTTGAACTAATTCAGGAACTGTAACAGCACGATATGGTTGATTACCACGTGACGTAAGTGGAGCAAAACCAGGAATGAAAAAATGTAAACGTGGAAATGGAACTAAAATCATCAAATAGCAGATGAATTATTGATAGTATTTACTTCGATCATCATAACGCATACTACCTACCCATATTCGTCGCTAGTTTTCTTAAATCAGCATTCAATTGACCAGGAAATCTCAAACATGTTGTAGCTCCACAAAGCGCTGTAACAGCCAGATGATTTAGATCACCAAACGTTGGTGTAGTTAATTTTAGTGTTCGGAAACAGATGTCGTACAATGCTTCATTGTCAATACAAAAAGTTTCATCCGAATTTTCTAATAGCTGATGAGCCGATAGTACACAATTATATGGTTCAATAACTAAAGGGAAAAAGATTCGGACAAGTTGGCAGTAGGTAAGTACAAAACAAAGTGCTTTTTCTTCTGTGAGTAAAAGTGCCGCAATTTTCATATCAATAATGATGTTTTCAAAGATTTGTGTTAAAAGTCTAGTTGAGAGCGTATACACCAGAAGAATAATAAACGCCCATTTTACCAGTATCAGATACTTTTGGACTTGGAACCACCGAGTACGTCAACATGATTCTATCTGGATATTCTTCTCTAATTTTAGCAATTAACAACGTGCCCAAACCAGAACCACATCCGCCTCCCAATGAATGAATCAATTGAAAACCTTGTAGGCAATCACATGCTTCAGCTTCTTTTCGAACAACATCCAATACGCTGTCAACAATTTCAGCACCTTCTGTATAGTGACCTTTTGCCCAATTGTTACCGGCTCCCGATTGACCTGATTGAAAAACAGCAACCAGAAGTAGAGAGACGATGTGAAAGACGAATTTGTCTTACCAAAAACAAAATTATCTGGACGAAATAACTGACCGTACGGACCGGCTCGTACAGCATCCATCGTACTAAAGTATTTAAATAGATCATCAGAATGAGTTAATGCATCGACTAGATGAAAAATGCTGATAATAGAACATATCAGTTGCCTTAAATCAACTAACTGATCAGCATTATAAACCAATTACTAACCCAGGTTCCAAATCGACAAGTATGCATCGCGGTACATATTTTCCACCTAAAAGTTAGTTTATAGATTGTCAAAAAATATATAGATAGAGATTCTTGAAAAGTGTATACACCTGTGGCTTCATTATAATAAACGTTGATTCTTTCTAATTGTAAATCAGAATCTCCATGATAAGTTCCTGTTGGATCAATACCATGTTCATCTGAAATAACTTCCCAAAATTTTGTACCCATTTGATTTCCACATTGACCAACTTGAATATGAACGATTTCACGCATTTCGATCTTAGCAATGGGCAAGATCGTATGGCTCTTTGAAAAAATCGAAAGAAAAAGTTCTAATTCCAACATATCATATAAATCAACATTTCCATACAAACTTTTTGCGTGTTAGTAATATTTCCTTTCAAATACTGAATCCTAATACTAATAAATATCAAAATGGTATTCAATAAAAATGATAGTATGTGTTCTGGATAATATTATTATGCGAAGCGAGTGGTGCTACTTATTGAATGCTAAACATTGTTAACAAAACGACAACAATCACAGCAGATAGTAATTATTGCCGTATATGAAACGATGGTCACAATATATGTTCATTATTTTTTAGTTTGTGCAAACGCGCCAACACTGTATCGCACCATATGAGAAGACATACATAGTAGAACTTTTGATTCAAACTATTTTTTTTTAAATATTTCGCGTCCTTACTAGAATAGAACAAAAATTAGATATCTGCAGGTTAATAGTTCTAGAAAAAATCTAAATTATTTATTTGGCAAAGGATATTTCGCTATTTATGGCTGATGTTTTTGTTCACTTAAAATTCCACCGTCATCGTGTGCTATTACAAAATTTAACCACATTTCTTAGAGAAAGAATCATTTAAAAACTATAGATTTAAACTAGGACTTATGTTGAAAAAATTGACCGGACCAAGAAGACGTTAGGCGAAAATAGACCGACAAAACGTCAACTGATTAGTCATCAGGAATCAGTAGATTTTTCTATAGGTTTATATTACACCATGTTTTCTATCTTCTCTATTGTATCCTACACATTTTTCTTGATTATATATATATATATATAGGCTTGTATTTGTTCGAAGTGTGTGCTTGTGATTTCTCAATAAACCATTTGTGCATACAAGTTCAGATTCGAACAAGTTAGGTGGAGTCGAACAAAGTCGTGACACAACTCTATGTAATGCAGAGGTAAAATGTTTCCTACCCTAGTTTAAGGCCTAAACTTTCAGAAGTACCTCGGACCAAAAATAGAAAATCTTCTGGGTTATCGAGTGTGCTGAATACGAAAAATCACTTTTCAGCAACTCAAAACCAACTTTATTTTTTTTCCGGTGATATGGCTAACATATGATGATATGTATTACACTTTTCTCAAGTTTACCTTTTGTTTCAAAAAAGAAAATCTAAAAGTTGTTGCGTGAATTTTTAAACTTACTTCTGTTGTTTTGTTACTTTATTTTTTAGCACCACTCGCTTCGCATAATAATATCCAGATAATACACACCATAATAATGTGATAATAATAACTTCACTTTCACACTTCGTAATGAGCAATTTTATCTCGTTCTGAGCAGTTGGACACCATTGGCATCGAGACTGTATAGTGAACCCAGGAAGGAAACTGCCAGTTTTTCCTATGTCAGATAACAGCGAAAACGAACATTTCGATTGGTACTCTGTAGTAGCTGAATAGGCTATACGTCTGCGCAGCAAATTATTATAGTCACATGCGCAGGTTCGATTTCTGTTCAGAGCAACTTTTTATTTACTTTCTTTTTGGTAAAAACCTAGCCAGTTTGCTGAAGTACTCAGACTCAAAATATACGAGAGATTTTAGTTGAGTTGCCGTCATCAGAACAAGAAATGCTCGAATTTTGCTGTCAAAAGTATGTCGACAGTCAAGCCGATCTGAAGATTGTGAGATACATTTCTCTATCGCCTGTTGAATCAAGCTTTGCGAGAGCAGGACATAGATACTCTCTATTCATTGAGATATTTCATTAAAGACCTTCATCTACAACTAGAAACACGACACGAATCATAACAGCATACTAGCACCGACAACCCGCCTACTGAACCTACTACGAATACGGTTTACCGTGGGCAATTGATGACAAACTGTTGTTCAACGACTGTACTTCGACGTATACGGTCGTATCTTCGAAGCGTACGGTCGTACGGGGTGTCTCCAAAGTCATGCTAGGAAAAAAATTTGAATATTTACACCGTGTTTTAACCAAAGAGCTGATTCTTTTTCTGATGATAGAGGGTAGTTCAAAGTCTCCGAAATCGGTCAAATGACCTCCAACCACTCTAGAAATGGGTCAGACTAGGGTAATCGGTCACGCTGAGTCGAATGGTGATGTTTATTTTGCGTTTTAAAGCGACTGGAGTCACTAAATCAAAATCCTAGCATTCCTCCGATGTCAAAGAGCCACGACCTAAACGGTCGTGCACGGCGAATTATGGTACAAAACGGTGAACGCTTATGAACATCGTTTACAGTCACGGTAAACGGGTATTTACGATGTTTTACGAACATCGTAGGCGGTAACCGTGAATAACTGTCGGTTACGACTACCATAAACTAACGGTTACGGTACACGATGTTGGTGAAGCATCGTAAATGTTCGTGATGACGAAACCGATGTTTCTCCTCAAGCACTTCATGTTTTCTAATGAGAGCTCGAAAACAGTTGGACAGTTATTTTATTCACAAGTAAAAAAACTTTGTATTGATGTTTATATTAACGGTGGTAAATTAAAAATGGTCTCCGAATTTAAATATCTAGGTTTTATATGACAAGTAAACTCTCCTTGAAACACACTGTTGAAGAATGTTTAGAAAATATAGATAAATCGTATATTAAACTGAAACGGTTGAATAGAAAAAGACAAATATCATCTAGTGTGCTACGATCGTTCCCATTCCGTTCTCGTC